GTGTGTGTGTGTGTGTATAATCTTTATTTTTCAGCTTCCATATAGGATGTAGTTGGTCACAAATGGGTCAAAAAGTGAAAGTCAAATGAGAGTGTTAGTCAAACCACTGTATGTCAGATAAAAGGAAGGGTCTGTTGTAGATACACCTCCTCTGTAACAGGCCTAATATGCGTTCCTGTGGCCACATACATTAACATTCAGCCAGCAGTGTATGTAGGCTTCTTCTCTCTGTTCCTTGTATTGATGTCCCTTTATGTGGTTAACAGGCCTCAGCTGTCCAGACATTCAGGCTGGTGGACCCAGTTCAGCGAGTTGGCCCAGAATGCCTTTCCCCACGCGTCCTGGGCGTGTGGGGAGAGGCACGCAGAACACTTTCAGAGGGTGCAGAACACTTTCAATCACTCATCACCCTGCAGAGGCTCGCACAGAGGTTAGCTGACCTTTGCTGGCTCACTCACAGAGAGCTCCTTATTTCTTGTATTACCAGTTTACAATATATATATTCTACAACATACACTTGGTTTATGAAATATCACTAATGTCTCCATCTGTCCCAGGCTGCTACAGACTCGGGGCCTGAACACATCCTTTCCTCCATCAAATGTAGCAAGTGAGTCAAATGTTGTCTAAGTAGTTTTTAAATCACACAGGGAACATTTTTAAGAAGTCAAACAAGGGTTGGAATGAAATCCATATGGAAAACATGGCACAAAAATAAATATAATTATGCTTACAAAAAACATCATCACAGTGGAACATTTATAGCCTTATCCTTGCTATGATTTATTAATGAAATATAAAAATATTTAACTCTCTGTTGCCTGCCCAGGTGTGAGCTGCAAACTCATATGAGCCGCATCCCCATCCGGCGGGCGGCGTCAACTCAAACACCTACACATGACAGTAAAACATCCCCTACCAGCAATAACCCAGTCGTGTCCGGAGATAAGGATGCGTCGGCCACCATGAAGGTCTGGAAGCTGCTTAGACCTGGCCTCCATCGCCACCTGTCACTGTCAGGCATGTAGACATACACATACACTATGTTCCTGTGCTGTTAACTCTATTTTGCCTAGAGATAGTGTTACCTGACCAATGATGCATCAGTCAAATAGGATAAGTGACATACAGGCAGGGCAAAAAATGAACATTAGTAAAATATTTGTTCACTATATATATATATGTATATTTATATATATATAGATATATGAAAACTGTTCATTTCTGTTACAATTCATAACTTGTATTTTTGTTACTGTATTTATTTGTATGCATGACTACAGTGTTGATGCCCAATAATTGGTACAATCTCAGCTGTACTTTGGGTTTAGTGCTAATTAACAAATGTTGCAGTGACATTTTATGCACTTTCTAAACTGCTGCTCTCCAATTCCATACTTTTGCCACTCAGCTTCAGCATTTATTCCCATACAAGTGTCCCTGCATTAAGATATTTCCCTTTGTTCCATCATTTTCAAGTGTTGCTTTTTGAATTCCCTCTTCCCAGCATGTTAACTGCACATATACACAGCTAAACATCACCTTTATTTACTCTACAGGTGAATCTGGGAAAGAGGGAGTCATACAGTTGGCCTCTAAAGCACTAATCAAGAAGAGCACAGACAGGAGTCTCCAATACAAAGGAAATACTATTATAGAAACCGCAACAGAGAAGGATGAAACTTTGCAACAGGTGATACACACACTAAAACAGACAGTGTCTCAAACAGCATTAATGTGCATTGACAGAGAAACAAATGCTGAACATGAATGAAACTACTAAAACTTAACCTGGCTGTGTGATTTACTTAAAGGTTGAGGAAACTCCAATGATGCCTCTGCCTGAGTCAGTGAACATGTGTGAGACAGTGACCTTGTGTGGGGAAGCCTAGGAACTGCACAGAAGAGAAGATAATTGTGTATGTGTCTGTGTTTGCTGTATGTGAGTCTGAATAACCACATTGTGATCAAAAGCATTTAAAACTAGCAAATAGGAGGGGCCATTTGTCATCACAAGGATTATTTAAGGTATCTTAATGTGCAATACAACATGTTTAACATTATTTATTCAGATTTTCCACAGCATGTTTGGTGTTTACAACCAATGCTATTTCAACAGTCAGACTTACTGTAGGAGCTGTCCAGTACAACTACTGAGCAGCTTTACTGGAGCATGTTGGGGGGGTAAAGTGCCTTGCTCAATAAAACCACTACAGTGGCTGAGGTAAGGGAGAGGTACAAACTTTCCAACCAATTAAGAATCCAGACTTGAAATCTGTTAACATTTCAGCTAACCATCATTGTACCTCATATCAGTTTTTGTAATTGTAGTCCTTTCCTCTGCTGTCCTCTCCTAAAAAGATGTTAAATGCACTCTGACCAACACTTATGCACTGAAGTATTTTCACAACCACTTGTACTATTACAGTAAAGGGTTGATTCTTACAGATTGATGAGCACGGCAGCACCTTTATAACCTCATTTCCATCGTGAAGTTGGACACTAATGTGTGAGTGAAGTGAGTGTATTTAATCTAGAAATTCCCAACGTTCTTTGCATATAGTGCCCATAATAGGTATTCACATCCTGTTGGACTTGTTTTACACTGAAGCAAGTTGGGAGTTTGAGTGATCAACAGCTGTTTTGATATTGAAGAGCCATGTGTGGCAAGTGATTTTAGGATAAATATATATGGAAGGTCCAGCTACTAGTTAGAAGGGAAAATAACATGGTTTCTGAAAAGTACCAATCGGAATAGGATAACAAAAAAATAATGATTTGGAATAGCTCTTAGAATAAAGTAAGAGTCATAAAAGATTAAACATGGCACAGCTGTATATCTACCTACAGCTGGTCTCTAGAGTGTCCATGGAGAGGACACCTGATCTCATGAAGCCGGGCAGTGGTAGCAACATGCTGTGGGGATGCTTCTCAGCACCAGTCCATGGAAAGCTAGTGGAAATTGAGGGTCAAAGGAATGCAGCAAAAAGCCTGAAGGAAGGACCTGCCACAACCTACCAGAGCACTGTCACTTGGAAAATGTTCTTTCCACATATCCTTAAAGGCAGTTACACGAGTGGCTTAAAAACAAGTCCTAAAACAGACTAATGGCTGAAATTGTTGCCAAACATGCATCTAAGAGATTCTTTTACTTTGACGGACTTGTTTTGAGTGTTAAGAGTCTAGCGATAAGGTCCAAAGCGTGGGTAAATACTTTTATACGCACACTATCTGCATTGAACATACTTTCCCGGTCACATTCCTTTAGAGCCTTTTGCTCCACAGCACACCAATATGGAAACATATCCTTTATTACCATTATCATGAATATATATGATATTCATGATATAAATATTTTGTGTAAGGCAAAAGTTGTCTTTTTAAATGTGATGAGCACATCTTAATCCCAATGACCAATACCATACTAATATATGGTAATACCAAATGCATTATACTGGGACTGGTATAAAACTGTGTTTGAACTTGAAGTACAAATAAATGAACTTGGAAAAAAAACTCCCTTAGTAACTGAATGAGAATGACATTTCTTGACTCGTGAATGCATTTCACACATTTTTATTACAAAAAACACTAGTGTGCAATCTTACAAAGAAATTCATCTCTTGGAAAGAGGACAGGAAGAGGGGAATGTTGTTTCCATGGTGGTGGCAGTCCCATATCACCTGTGGGGAGAACAACACTTTAAGCTACACACTTGTACTCATGCTCAATGATCAAGTGTCAACTCGGAAGAAGGTCGACCATCTCAGGCGAACATGAATGCACTCACCTCTCAGATGATATTGGCAGACTCTACTCCTGTTTCTTGGGATTATTGACAGCAACGTAGTGATATAACACAACCAGCAGGAACAACGACACGCCAAGCATGTTGGCAAATATAGCCAGCTGCACGTCTGTCACCATTCTGCAAAGGATAAAGAGTGCAGGTGTAAGGAAACTGCTCCGTCTTAAGATAAAGTAAGTTTGGTCTCGAGTGGAAAGCAGCTAAGGATCACACCAGTGTTTCTGCATGCGTTAGCTTTAACTAGAACCTCATGTTTACGTTGTAGCATCTCATTTCAGTACACCACACCTTTTTGGATATCTACCTACATTAGTTATACACATGACTACATAATATTCATAACAGTGTTCACGCCATTTATCAATGTGTACTGTATTGACAAAGGCCGTCAGGACAGAATGAATGATGCATTCAAAATCGTCTTTGCTCGTCACGCTAGCTGTATTCTGCATGTGAGTATTTTGTATATGAATCAGAAAATCGTCGTCGATTAACTATAACAATCATCCCTAGAGTACATTGCTGAATATGTGCTTGTAAATCAGTCTGAAATCAAGGTACATTTTGAGGCTAGTCCAAAAATCTGTGTAACGTCAACCTAGCTAGCTCACTTAGCTAGAACCAACACTGGCTATATTGACCAACAATGGGACGCTTCATATAAAGCTTCAAGACAATTCCTAAATGAAATCTACTGCATTGCAGTTTCACTGTTGTTATCACTTACATGATCCCTTGAATTGGGCTTTAGTCTCTTTAGGTCGAGCGATATATCAGCCGCTCAGCAGCAAACCAGCAAGTCTGTCTCTCTCTTCCGGTCGGAGGGGAAAGACACGTCACGTTTAAGAGCACTACAGAAATAGTTTTAATAAAGCGGACCTCAGAGTGCCATTAATAAAAATAAAACCTAGATACGACACCCTAGCAACCATTATCCACATTCCTTTTCTCAAGTGACACCATAACTAATTAAAATGATGTCATTTTGGACCACTGGACGGAATTGTATATGTTTTTTTCTCATTATGTTATCGCTGTCATCCAGGCCGGAGGGGGCGGTAGTGAGCTCCAGTGAGCTGATGTTTGCAGCCCGTAGGAGTGGCCTAAATGTTTCGACATCACCTCACCCGGCGTGAACGACAGCGGCCAAGCTAGATGGTACTTCGACTCGGCAGCTAACGTTGGGGATTGGATTTTCCAGGCAGAGATATCCATTTATGTCATTGTGGAGCCCGGCTGTACCAACATGGCTCTTTACGAATATGTCACTCAGGAGCAGCTCGCGGGCTTCGACAAATACAAGGTACGATTAATAAACTGTATTAGCCTGCTAGCGTCTAGCCATGGAGCCCACCATGTAATATGTGTTAACGTTATGTGTATATGTGTATATGTGTTTAACAGCTAGCTGTCACGATCCGCAGGGTGCTTCCTGGCACAAGAAGAAGTGTGTGAAGGTAGCCAGAGTGAGCTAGCTGAAGTCAGACTGGTCAAATCTCCCCTAGAAAATAAAAGTGTGGTGTAACGTTGGTTAGTTAAAACTACAGTATAATCTGCTCAGGTGACTTTAGATGGTATCTTGTATGCCGCTATGACCATAATATTGTATATTGTATTGTGTTCACTAACCATTGATTGGAAGTGTTAGCGTTCAGCTCAGACACCATTTTAGTTGGTGTTTGAACACTCGTCTTCAATTTCAAGGTTGACTTTCTGTCCTACAAATACACGCATTATAAACGCTATTTTGAGGCAGGTGAATAAAACAAAATGATATTTAAATATTTCAAAGATTCTTCTTAAATATCAGTGCGATTGTGTTTCGACATGTCGGGGAACTAACGTTACTTTTTTATTTTGAAGATGTTTGCCGGAAGTGTCATCGTTTACCATGTCGAGCTTGACTCTGGCGCAAATGTGCTAATAGCTAGCTGCCCTTTCTGTACGGCAGTGCTTGGCTATGAAATAATGCTTTAACTTATAACTTACATACTGTCAGTTGACTTTATTTAGTGTTTTCTCACATTTCAGAGAATCTCCCGTCTGTCTCCTCTTTGTATGGAAAGCCAGTTCAGTTCGTTTAATGTTGGCTAATATTGCAACAACAGAAGAGAAATAAGTCCAAGTAGCTGTAATGGATAATAAAGGGGGGGGGGGGACACTCAACTTGAACCAGCACACTGTTAAAAGGTCACACAGTAACCCCCTTTCTGCAGGTCACACAAGCCTTTCAGTGTTCAGTTGATCCCCATAAAGATGAGCATCAGTGTGGCAGTACAGATACAAGGAGTCTGTTGTCCTGTCACTGGACTGTAGGAAACAGGAGTGGCGGTTATTCAAGGATCTAATGACACAAGACAATTCAGTTTTGATAAGGGGGGAATCATTTGACTTTGGCACCGTGTATATTAGTTTATGAGCAGTTTAGCACACAGTGTATCCCTGGAGTTATAGACAGGCAAGTAATTCTCATATAAAGCTTTGTGCCACGTGTAAAGACAATAGCAAAAGTCCTGTATGTTTTGCAACAGTTCTTAAGACAATAATATTCCTTTTGTATTTTCCTGGTAATGCTCTTTGTCCTTAAATGACACAAGCTGGCTCTCTCTCTAATACCCCCTCCTTTGATTACTGTGTGAAACTGCTCCCTCGAGCTGTTTTTCACAAGAGAGCCTTTTCCAATAATTGCTTATTAAGTGGCTCACTCCATGTGTTAGCTACTGTGCCTTGAGCATCAGGGGCTGGCGGAGAGCGGAGGATGACAAATGTGAGTGGACGAAAGGGCTGTGGCTCTCTTGGACACACTGGTTGTATTCCTTTAAGGTGCACGGACACAAGCATGCACGTGGAAAGCGCACGAGAGAACGAACCAGTCTGTTTTTCATGCTGTCATCCATCTTTCTGCCTCTCACGGCCTTTGTCACACTTGGCGGAGCCCCCTCCCTTGCTGTGGAAGTGAACTGTGTCTCTGTGTCAATGCTTGTATATGCTTTCATTTGTACAGACCAGAGTGTGAATTATGGTTACAGTTTTTTTTCCCGCAGTTTTTTCATGATGAATAATCACATTAGTTGTTCTTGTTGATTTGAGGAACACACACTTTTGACATTACAGAACATCTTATCATTTTTGAAAATTAAAATCTTGATAATGGATTAGATAATTAATCCATTACGTGGAATGAGGAAGCGTCCTGAGTATTAGCGTCAATCTTTGTCCTTGGTCGGCTGTTGTGTTGTTAACAGATGTTTGCAGTGGGGAATCTGAGCTCCTTCAGAGTCTGGTGCTCTTGTGAAAACAGTGCAGTTAAAGCTCAATAATTAAGTCTCTCGTAGTGACCTGAAAACGCAGATCCAAGTCCTTTTCCATGTGAACTGGGATTGAAAACGAGGTCAAAATCTAAAAAACGAACTCAATCACAGAAAACAGCCCTCGAAGAAGATTGACATCAGAGAGGCAGCGTTTACTCTTAATTAAAGGCCTAAAAACACACTTCTTAGTCCGTATGAACACCAGAGATGGCACATGACACTGTAGCACACACACCTGTTTGTGATGCCTGGATGAAGTAACAGGGACTGGAATCAGGTTTGTTTTGATCTGCATGATGACAGGCTACCAAAATGATCCAGTAAACATTTTACATGTAAGGTCATATAACCTTTTTTCACGTCTTTGTTCACTTGCAGTGAGATGAAATGAACTGAATATAAAAATGCAGCTGTTTATGTTTGATAATCACATTCTGATTAAATTGTGTTTCTTTGCAGTACAGCGCAGTGGACTCGAATCCCCTGTCTGTCTATGTCATGCACCCTTTCTGGAACTTTGTGGTGAAGGTGAGAAAGACCTGCTCAGCTGTGTGTGTGTGTGCGTGTGTGTGTGTGCACGTGTATACATCATTAATGAGGTTTCCAGCCGTCTGCTGTGATACAGTAACAAGACAGCGTCACACACCAGCACCACCTCCTTCTTTGTCAGAACACATCAGTCTCTGATTGTTAGAATTTGTTCTGTTCTTTAAAGATATTGTGTTGTTTGAAATGCTGCCATGTACCTGATAAAAGGCACACACTGTTCATTTTTTAGACATGTCCTTGCAAACAGGCAGTGACACATTTATCTTTTTACATTAATCTCTGCTGGATGACAACCTGATAATAATTTAGCAAAATTTATATCTCTGTCCCTAAAATTGTCTCTGCCTAACAGTTATGTAACTGTCCCTAAAGTGTGACAACAGTAATTACTGTCTAGTTATTTAATCACTGTCAATATGATGAGAAAACTTTAGGAGCTGAGTGACATGTTAATTAACTGTCTCTTTGTCTCTGTCTCTACAGTTTCTACCAACATGGTTGGCGCCAAACCTCATTACATTTACAGGCTTTATGTTCCTTGTGTTGAATTTCCTCATGTTGGCCTTCTACGACTCTGACTTTACTGCCTCTGGTAGGTCCTATACACTACTTATTCTTTCCCTAGTTGTGTTTGTCTAGTGCATAAAGGAGTGTCCTTCAGTTTGTTTTGTCCTAAAGCATACTATAAACTGGTTGAATCCACCCCATCTGTTTAGAAAACAGAGAGAAAACCAGAGGTGTGTATGTTGGTGAGTTGGTGAGTGAAAGGCAAAGTCCATCGCCTGGTGAAACATGACTGTGGTTATGGTGGTTCAGAGTAATCGCTAACCCATTACATCCTACAAACAAACACACTGAGCTACTGCTGTTAACAAGTTCAACAATATCTCTAGGAGTTGAACAAAGACTGACACAATACTCTGTAAAGATGTAAGACATTGCAGAAAAGTGCTTTAAAATCCAAAAAACACTATAGCCACATCATGAAAATGCAGATCTTTAGCCACCTCACATGTCATCAAAATGTATCTCACATGGCCCTTTCCTCATGTCACAACTTCAGGGTGAGTGAACGACTATGTCAGTATGTCAATAGCATATAGTGTTTGTTTTTGTTTTTATTAGCACATAATTCTTTCAAAGTTACAAGA